GCCTCAGCGGCTTTGGTTAGGGCTGCCTTCATCGCGCTCCATACGCTTTGTGTGGTACCCATCCACTCTTCGAGTTGGCAAGGAGAGAAGGGATCTTGCGGTTATTCAGGATGAAATCTAATATGAAATCTAATCCATTGACTACCCAGAACAGGGTGAACCCAGTGCTGCTATGCACTGCATTGTTATATGCCACTTCCGCAAACACCAAAAGATCCGCCCAATTAGTCTGTTGGTAGATTACATGGAGATAGCATTTCACCATGGCATGGCAGGGGAGATATGGGTAACAGGCCTCGGGGTTTGGTGGAGGGGGCAACCAGAGATCCCCGTGCTGCTCCAGTTGTGATCCTACCAGGAGGAACCAGGTGGCAGATGCTCCACTCTTTTCAGTGTAACCGGCTGGGTCATCGAGTGGCCAAATGTCCAACCCTGGCTCCACTGCCAAACCTGGGGGGAATGAAGGGAAGGCAGAAACAGCTGCAGGAACAGCATGGGTCCGGTGAATGGCGGGTTGCCCGGCTGGATGGTGCCCTGGTTCCTTACTCTTCCCTACCGGCACACTGGCACTGATCACAAAGAGGCTGCGTACCTTCTCCAAACAACAGCTGACTAGCGCTGATTGCGAAGCAGCCAGAAACCAGGAGGAAGACTGAGAGATGATGGATGCTGGCGGGGTGGGGCCGTGGGTATGTTATGGTTATTTACAGCGCTGGTAGGCAGTATCTCCCAGCGCTAACTTTGCAACTACTAAGGACTCATTTGTGCCAGACCTCAGTCTTCATTAAACCTGTATCAAGCAAACTTGTTTATTTCCACGTTTCCTTGGCTGGGCTATGGACTAGTGAGGAAAATGAAATAAAATAACAAAGAAATCCAAGCTTAAAAATTAGTAACTAGGGCAAGAACATTTCAAACTCCCAGGATATTCTGCAGTTTTGAAAGCTTTAATCCTTTAACAAAGGAATAACAAAAGGAGATTGTAGCATAAAATTAAACAAGAATTTACACGGAAGTCCAATTTGAATTATTTAGGCTTGCATTGTTTCCTGTCCAACAGCAGGTGCTTATTACCTGCTTATTACCTAAGCCATGTTTAATTGCATACTATTATTGTAAATAATTGCTCTTGTGAATTGTTTCTTTGCTTCTCTGAGGTTCTTTCTCAAGATAGTACAATTGCTTCCCTGTGTCTTTTACTTTATGTACCAGTGGACGACAATAGCTGCCCATGATTTTTGCATATATTTGAAGCAAGTGCTTATCAGGCATGAGATTGGTGACCTTTCATAAGCTGGATAACTATAATTCCCGGCAGTCTCACCAACCTTGGCCAACATTTGGGTACTGTCATTCAGCAACCACTGATTCTCCATCACTTCACTTGTGAATTTGATGGGATAGTCAAGTCTGTTTTTGAAATGTGGGATTTCCCTTTTGTTGGATTGCAACTTTTAAATTACCCAAATTAAACAAAGGTGAGAATGCACGTAGGTGTTTATTATGAACCATATGCAGGATGACAAACCTTCTAGGGCAAGAGGTTGGAATAGAAACCTCCAGGATCCCCTTGTTGGAAGAAATGTCCATCTGGGTTCAGTTCCAAGTGGGGAGAAAGACACTGGAAACATGGAAGCTATTTGGAAAGATGGCTTAATGGAGGACAGGACCACATGGCTTTGAGGTCCTGGGTAAAATGGAACACATGGGTGAGAAGAGGGAGAGAGATTCATAACCTCTGTTGGGTTTTGAACTTGGTTCCTGTTTTTGTGGCAAGCAATGTATCCTGGTTGGTTGTCAGACTCCCATGGGGCCATGCAAGGGTAACTTTGTCGGTTGTCTTGAGTCCCAAGCTTGATTGAATCTTGTTGGGTGATGTAATTTTCCCAGGTATCATGTGGTGAGATGAGTAGAGGTTTAATCCTATCATGTCCTGAGGGCCATGTCTTAATCCCATCACCCTGGAGCTGAAGGTCTTTTGTGCTGTAGATAACATGTCTTTTGTCTTTCTGGGGTTATTAACAAAGGTGGAGGTCGCTTTCCAAGAGCATGTTTCTCCTTTTCTCATCCAGGAAGGTATAACATTCTGCCTTTTTAATATTTCCTGGAATATTTCATTCTTCTAGGAGGGGGATTGGTGCTAACTTTCTACACTCACCAGTCTTGATTCTATGAAATTTGGTGGGATTAATGGCCCCCCAAAATAAACTGTCTGCAACAAATCCCGCTGAGGGGTTGGGCTCGGGAATGAATAAGTAACCCCATAATGGAAATTAACCTTGGTCATTTTAATGGAAATTAAACTTTGTCATTTTATCACTTAGATAAGAGCTGGACTTGGAACTTGGACAAGTGCAAACAATATATTTCATATTGATCAGGAATGACTTTTTCATTCTCCTGCCCCACCTCCAAAATGTGCCAAAATAATGAAACTTGCACAGCCACTAAAGTAATGAAATAATAAATAATAACACAAAATAATGAAACTTGCACAGTTTACTAAAGTTTCTTAGATCTCCTGTGATTTTTTTCCTACTGGCAGTTGATGTCACAAACCAACGAAATGTAAACTGAAATTTATTAACCAACTTTTCTATGCCTTTAAAGAAATGCCATATGGAATCCAGACACAGCCTAAGCAGCAGACTAGATACCTCGTTTGTAGACTATAAAGATCAAAGTGGCTGCCATTTCTGAGCCGCTGGAGCAGCCAGTCCATACTATCCTTCCAAGTCTGCATCTCCAATCCAACTGATCAACCCATTTTGATCTACTGTGAATCTGACGATTCAGCAGTTACCATTCCATGTGGTGCAACTGCAGAAAACTGAGTCGCGTTAAGCCTTGCAGGATTATGCAAACCCAGCCTTAGCTTAGACCAGTGGTGGCTAACCTTTTTGGGCTCCTGTGCCAAAAATTGTGCGCGCGCTTGCGCTTCTGCCCTCGCATCCCAGCACCCAGAAGGCAATGCATGCAGGGGTCCTCACGTCTCCTGAGCATGCATGCACAATTCCCCCCTCCCATGCTTCTCCCTTACTTGCACTGCTCTTCAGCTGATTTTGGGCCCGTTTTGAGGCCTTTTTCGGCCTCCCAGAGGCTTGAGGAAGGCCTCTGCAGGCTTTGCAGGCCGAAAAATAGGCCCATTTGTCACTTCCTGTATTTCCGGAGGCACGCGCATGCGCAGTGAGGTAAGTTTGCCTGTGGCTCACATGCTGGCACAAATGCCATAGGTTCGCCATCATGGGCTTAGACTCTGAGTTCTTCCATGTCCCTTGAAAACTATACAGGTAGTCCCCGACTTACAACAGTTCATTTAGCGACTGGTTGAAGTCACAACAGCACTGAAGAAAAGTGACTTAGGATCTTTGCTGCATCCGCATGGTCACGTGATTTCCACTCAGATGTTTGTCAACTGATTCGCACCTCTGACGGTTGCAGGGTCCCATGTTCAAGTGATCCCCTTTTGTGTCCTTCTGACAAGCAAAGTCAATGTGGAAACAAGGTTCATTTAACAACCATGTTATTTACTGAAGAACTGCAGTGGTTCACTTAACAAATGTAGTGAGAAAAGCCATCAAATGGGGGAAAACTCACTTAATATATTTCTCACTTAACAACAGAAATGTTGGGCTCAATTATGGTCATAAGTTGAGGCCTATCAGTAGTGAAAACCTCACCAGCCGGTTTTCTATTTTGCAGGATGCAAAGCTGGAATCCACCCACCCACTCATTTGCAACACAGGAACACGAGGGTTTGGTAGCTGCTTTTGAAAAAGAAAACTCCACTATTTCAACATTTGATCAACCTGGTTTGAACTTGTATAGCCATTTGTATAGCCATACGCCGCTGGAATCACCGGGACTTTAACAGATGACAGATAATCAGAGTTGGAAGGGACCTTATAGGTCATCTAGTCCAAC